TCCTCCTCCTCTCCCTTTCCCGTTCCCATTATCTTTCCCCCTTGTGTGTTTCCCCTTTCCCGTTCCCTTTCTCTGCTTCCATGTCACTATCCCTATCCCTATCCGTTTCCCTTTCCCTGTCCCTGTCCCTTCCCCTGTCGCCTTCCCTTTCCCTGTCCCTGTCCCTTTCCCTTTCCCTTTCCCTTCCCTCCTCATTCTCCTCCTCCTCCTCCTCCTCCTCCTTCTCCTCCTCCTCCTCCTCCTTCCTCCTCCCTCCTCCTCCTTCTCCTCCTCCTCCTCCTCCTCCGCCCCAAGGCGGTGCATGAGGCTCCCAAGGTGGCCCCAGAATGGCCCAAGAGAGCCCCAAGACGGCCCAATAGCCCCCAAGACGGCCCAAGAGAGCCCCAAGACATCCCCAAGAGGGGCTCAAGATGGGGAACTTGAATTGACAGTTACAACCTTCCGCCCCTGGAGAACTCCCGAGACCGCCAGCAGGCGCCCAAGAGGCACCCAAGAGGCCACAAGGGACCCCCAACAGGCCCAAAAGAGGCCCCAAGAGGCCCCCAAGAGGCCCAGAGAGGCTTCAAACTTGCATCCAAGAGGCCCCTGCGATGCCTCCTAAGACCGATATGCATCCAAGAGGCCTCTGACCCACAACCCAGGCACGAAGGCGAACTGGGCCCAGGGCCACTGGATTGGTACTCTCTGGGGCCGCCAGCACGCCCCCAGGAACCCCCTACGAGACTTTAAATACGCTTCCGAGAGGCCCCCGAGATACCTCCCAAAAGACCCAGCAAGCCGTCCGCGGCCTTCCTGGGGCCTCCCTCCTGATCCCCCATTCAGAATCGACGGCACAGGCCGTGAGGCCTCTCCAATGAAAGAAAGGGCCATCAACTCCGCAAAGTAGAGGAACACGAAAATCCATACACATCAACTTTCGGAGGTCCGCGCAGATTTCTTGTATCGGCGATGGGCCCCCCTCCTTGGCGCGCAGAGCGCGCCAGGGGCTGCGCCTCCGGCGCCGCCAAAGAGGCCGAGCGCCGATCGAAGAACTCCGCGCGGAACTCCAGAAGCTGATGTTTATGACGTTTTCCATCTTCGAACCAACAAACGCACTGAACTGAGAAGAGGGGGGCATGAACTCTTTAGAGATATGATGCTAATCATGGCCCCGGTCATGATATCCACTCCCTCGACCCTGAAGCCCGGCCAACCGAGTCGCGGCCAGAACTGGGCCCTCAGCACCGGCTGCTCCCTCCCCCCCACTTTGCCATTCGGATCTGGCCCTGGCCAGCCCTGCTGAGCCCCAGATGCTTCTCAGGTAGTTCCAGAAAGGGGACCGGGAGCCTTAGGACATTTGGTCCAGCAGCCCTTGTGCCTGAGACTTCATCGCAATTGATTGAGGAATCTTGTTCTCGCCTTACTGCTGGCTGCATTTTTGGTCCAGACGGCCAAGATCCTCTCTCAAAGACACGCTAAAATGAACATGACCGTGCTCTCACTCCTGTCCCCATATGGCCGACCTCCTATTCCTCGACCCGCCTCTTCATATTTGCTGCGATGAACGCTTTGCTGGGGTAATCTCACTGCGCTGGCCCACAGATCCCGGCACCTTCCCAGATCGGCGGCGAGCCCGGGAGGGTAATGAAAAGGGGCGGGCCTTCTCGGAAAGCTCGGAAATTCCCCGGCCTTCTGAAAGGCTTTCGAAATCTTCCGCGAAGACGGAGGGAACTTCTCAGAAGGCGCGATGTGGTTCTGAGAAACCCCGCCGCCTTCTGAGAAGGCCTTCTCCTTCTCATTTCCCCCCGTAACAATAACCTCGGAAGTGCCTGTCTTCGGCACCCACTGCCCCCTGCCTTCCCCCCGCCTATGTGAGCTGCCCCCGGGCCGACCCTGCTGGGCCCTCAGAACGCGCTGCCCCCTGAGCCCCATGCTGCCCTCGTGGCGATTTTGGCTCAAGTCGTTTTAGTTCGAATCTTGTGCAGCTGAACCAACTGTAAGGCGGACGCGTGCCAGGCAACCGGCACGGCAGGCATTGAACGTAACATTTCTCTGGGCCTTTCTCGCACACGATACGGCCCCCTGCTCCGTCTCTTGTGAGCCGAAAGGTACCGAGACCGGACCCTCTCCTGGGGCGCGTCCTGGTCAGAACTTTGAAGCGAATCCGCCTGTGGCGACGAGGGCCTCCCGGGAGGTTCAGCTGAGCAGAAACGGGGCAAGGGCAGCGGTCATCCGACTTCTGCTTCTTTGAGCTGCCCCGGGCAGGCCCTCGGCGTTGCGCCAGGTGTTGTACACGCTGCCTCCGTGCGGCTGGGCGACCCGCTGCGGGGCCGGGGGGTGGCCGTACTGCAGCGGGGGCGGGCTCGGCTCCTGGCCGTGCACCCGCGCCCTGCGCCGCGGCGAGTGCACCACCTCTTCGGGGAGGGGCAGGGCTCCGTCCGTCCGTCCGTCCTCTTCTTCCTCCTCCTCCTCCTCCTCATTCTCCTCCTCCTCCCTCCCTCCCTCCCTCCCTCCCTCTCTCCCTCCCTCCCTCCCTCCTCCTCCTGCTCCTCCTGCTCCTCCTCCTCCTCCTCTTCCTCCTCCTCCGCCTCCTCCTCGCAGCACGCAGAACAGAGCTTAAGGTGTATGAAGTCTGCAGCCTTCCCTGAGTTAAAACAGACGGAGCCAGGAAAAGGCAAATAGAGGCAACAGCATGTCAAGTACTGCCAGACACCAGGATCAAGCCAGAACCTCTACCCGTAGCCGATGAATGCGAGCGATTCAGTCGCTAAGCAGATACGGATCCAGCGGTGCACAGAGTCGCGCCTCCGGTGCAAGCGCGATCTGTTCATCCTCATCATCACACAACGGCTCGAGAGACATCTGCTGCAACTTATCCAGGAAGGCACGGCACACCATCCCATGTAATACAATGGGAAGAGAAAAAGAGTAAGGTTCTCTGCGCTGCGTAGCAACAACATGAGCATACGTGCCTGGACACCGCCACCCTCCCACCCCCTGCAGTCCAGGACCTATCTGCGGAAAACACGCCCCTCACATCTCAACAGGCTCCCAGTCCGTCAAGCCTGCGATGGCGCGCGTCTCGATCATGCACCCTCTCTTTTTGCGAGAGGTCCCTGAACCTTGGGAAATCATTTCCCTCGATACCCCCCCCCCAGTCTCTGAGGCCCCACGAGCGCCCAGGAGACCTTAGCAGCTCTGGCCGCGCAAGCCATGACCCCCGACCCCCTCGACACCAAGCTTTCATCCGCAACCGCCGCCCTCCCTCTAGCACTGAGTTGCGCCCTGCCCAGCGATTCCTCACGCGAGCTGAGAGGCTCATCCGAAAAAATTGAAGTCCCCTGGATCCGCGGGAGAAAAACAATGCCTCCAGAGGCCTTGTCTTCACGGATTTACGAACCCACAAGCTAATGCCAGTTGCACTCCACTGGTGAGCATTCAGCTGAGCAATCACAAGATGCTCCGCGCTGTCTTTTCTGGCTGCTAAGAAGCAGCTGGAACTAAGAACAACACATCATACGAGTGCCTCTGGTCAGAACCCAAGCAAAGAAGCATGCCGAAGTGTGCCTGAACAGAACTTGGAACAGGCGCTATACTGCTGTCAACGTGTACGCACGCAGCTGGAGCCCCCACTGCCCCTCTGGCAGGCTTGGGACCCTTCGGAGACACAGGCGGTCCAATCAACTTACTGGCGGCTTTCTCAACATGATGTTCGCGTGTCTCCCTTTCCTGTTCGAAGCTTAGAGCTTAAGACTCATCGCCCTCTCCTCCTCTACTTTCTCTTGGTCAGCATTTCCTGCTGCTTCGGGCGTTTCACCAAACGACAAACTACTTCTGGCGTGAAGCACATGCGTGCAAACCTGGCAGCTGGTGCCTGTGATCCAGTTGTCAGCATCCAAGGCATCATGATAGAGCTTCCCCCTGTGGATATTAATTCTCTGACCGACGGGGCGGGGTAACCACCCTCGTAACAGACATATGCATTTTTGTTGGCGACCCATCCCCCCCCGTTCTCCGTCGCAAACCTGGCGGCCTGGACCCCCGGCTTATTGCTCGCGTGCAGCTCTCCGGCGAGCTGACCTCGCTGCTGCGCAAAAAACTCACCCTTGGCTCCTTCAGCGATGCGATTCCTGAAAGTCAGTGGTTCTATTCTCGCCAGCTCGAGCCAGTGGTCATCCTCGCCGGGGCCAGGCGCATCTTTTCTGCGAGTGCCCTGGCTCAGCCACTTGAAATCAGATCTCTCCTACCCAGCTGGACCCCGCGCCCCATGGGCAGTCGAGAGCAACTCTTAACCCCGCGGGAGCGGTGGACAGGAGTCTGGTGAGATATCAGAGCCTGGCAACGCGCGAGACAGCTCTGTGCCTCAAGCTGCCGACTCGAAACAGCAGAGAGTTGCGAGATTCGTGGGTCTCTTCGTTCCCAGGCGGAGGCATCCCAGGAGCGGCTCTGTAGGCAGCAGCCTGAGCAGAGGCAAGACACTTGTGATTTTTCTCGTCAACGGCCCCCGCGCGCGGCATTGAACCAAAGCTTGGACATGGCACATGCGTCCGTGTACTTGGCCTTGACAGCCGCCGACAACCCCTCCCGACGACCCGGGGCAACCTGAATGGGTCGGAGCTCCTTTCTCACGCTACAGATCCTGCTCGAGATCTCCACGCTCGGGAGCAAATCTTGGGAGAGCATGGCGCCCGGCCCTTCGATTTGGCTGATCACTTCAATCCGGGGGCCACGTTGGGGAGACGCGACCTTACTTCCCCCTCTCATTGATGCGCTCTTGTTCCAAACTCTAGAATACCTCCCCAGAAGAACAAAGGAAATATACAAATTGCCAGGGTGTAGCCTAAGGCCAAACCAGGGAACGGCATCGAAAGCACTGTCCAACAAAATCCCAAATATATTCCAGGCCTGACGAGGGTCTCTTACGACGGCAATCGGAATATGATCATGGACGAACGAAACCGAGGCATTGCATCTACGCCCGTCATCTGGCTTCGCTATGTGGCGAGGTTTTCGGTCTGGCCGCCGCGCCAGTCCATGAGTTTGCATGCGATTTCGATATCAGCGGTGCTTGGTTCGGAAGCAACGTGGAACGAATCCGTCGCGCAGATCGTGCCCGGCCTGGTACCATGCACTGGCCGAAGAAATGAAGCATTCCTGACCATCCACCGCTTTCCCGCCTGAGTCTCCCTGGCAAGTCCCCTTAGTTAAATATCTTCAATACTGTCGAGCACGGGTGCACCCTGCAGAGCTCGCGTCGCCGAGAAGAGAACCTCTGGCATAGCAATGTCTCACATCGCCTCAATCATATCCGTTTCTTCGCCCAGAAACTTGAAAGTGAACTGCTCGACTACACTGTAGAAGGCAGCTGGGAGATCCACAACAAAGGCGGGCGAGCTGAGGCCTCCGTTTTTTTTGAACGCTGAGCCTCGTCTTTGCGAAGTGCGTCGCAACGCCAGCGCTCCTCCGTTTTGTCCCCCCGCGCTGGGTGTCGTCGAGTCAGGCCCCAGCAATTTGCCGCGCCATACTGTTAACAAATCTGCGATGCACCAGGGCAACCGTGCTGCCGAGCAAGATGCTTCTCTGGGCAGAAGCAAAAAGCTGGCCCCCTTTTCCCCATATAAGAACTCACCACTTCCGTTTGAGGGCGTAGGGTTCGCGCCCTGAGGCACGCAAGTCGTTGCCCATCCCATCTGGCCCCCCAGCCGCCCTTCGCTTAGCTCTTCCGCACTCCCTGGCAACCCATTCTCTGGACACAATGTTTTCAAGGCCGATGGGGGCATCCCTGGGAAGGCACGCACCACTCTCGTGGTATCCCTGGAGAATATCAGAAGAGGCCGTTAAAGCTTTCTCGGTGCTTAATGCCCGGCACAGAACGCCCGAGCTGGTCGCGCACGAAGCGCGCGGCCCACCTCCGAGGAAGGTGCCCAGGAATGCTTGCGTGAATCCCACCGGCCCTCTGGGCGCAGGTGGTCCAGGCCGTTTCGTTTCCGTTTCCAACATCCTTCTTTTCCCTGTACTGTACTGTGCTCCGTGGGAGCGTCTGTCAAAGCCAGACGCTCCGAGCAACAAAACAGAACTAGTCCGAGTCCCCGTTTGACGGGTGGCCAGGAACCTCGGCCATGCAGAGACCGAACCTGGTGAGCAATTGCGGGACACTCCATCGCCCCCCCCAGGTGGGATCATCACACACAAAATCGGCAGGCTCATCCTCGTGGGCCAAGACACCCCTGCGAGCAGCTCGAACGAGGCTAAGGAGAGCGGGCGGCGCTGGCACCCGCGGCTCCGAGACCGCCCAGCCACGATACTGCTTGGCCCAGCTCGGGAAGAGACCCTTTAACACTCTGGACCGCTGCTGCCTGAGATCTTTGGTGGGCGGCGCGTTCGGGCAGACTCTGCATAAACTGTCAAGTCCAGCCCACGCGTAGCCCCCACGTTTCAGGCACGACATGACCCAACCACTCCCACCCACCCGAGCTCCCGCCCCGTCCCAAGCCCTGAGCATCACGAGGTTGTGTCCCTGCAGCAGCATGAAGACACGGGCCTCCGTGAGGAGCCTCTCAGAGGCCTCTACGGGCGCCGAGTCCAGGAACAGGGGGGCACGGAAGCTGAGCAACGCCTGGCGACAGCCAAGGTGGGTGAGTTCACGCATGAAGCCTACACGCACAGCCCGAAGTAGGAGGCGCTTCGGGCGCAACTTAGGCCTAGCTACAGGGGCCTGGGGGTCCTCAGGGTCATCCTTATCAGGGAAGCCCGTAGAATCAGACCAACCCCTCTGACTCATGAGGACGTGCTGGATGCCGCCCCATCTGCACACAGCCTTCTGCAAACGAACAAGCTCATCGTACTGCGCTCTGGCTGCATCAACAGACGGGTGCTGGGCCGCTCCAAGCTTGGCGAAACGATCCGCATGCCTATTACCCTCTCTCTCGAAGTGGGTGGAGCGGCCCTCAACAATATCATTGAAGGTGGCGTGGCCGAGGGTATTGTGGGCCGTCAGGCCGTCCTCGAAAACGTGCCACACCCTGGCCCAAATATGGGCCCGCGGGTTCCCAGAACCGACCGAAGGCCAACGGTCCCAGACGCGCCCCAGGGTCCCCTCGCAGTCCGTCCAGACCTGGAAATCTCCTTCGACGAGACTAGCCAGCATGAAATAAGCATAATATTCGCCGCCCCCTGGCCTGCTGCTTGGGGGCGAATTCGGCTGGGACAGCACCACGTAGATAACAGCTCGCCCGTGGGGCCAACCATGCACAATGACCAACCCGCTCGACGAAACCTGGACGAGGTGGGGTTGAGAGCAGACCCGTCGCTAAAGGTAAAGCCAGTGAGCTTACCGCTCGGGGGCCCATTAAACCACATGAGGTTACATTGGTTAGCTTTCAGCGGCGGGGGCGTCAGCTCTCTGGGGCCAG